ACAATTTAGCTTTCCCTTTATTTGTTATAAATTATGTAACTTACACCTCTGACTGTGCTGCTCTCCGCACAAGGTTTGGCTGGGCTCTCAAGGCACGGTTGCCATCTCTATCCCTAGCATTTGTGAACCATTTACCGAGGGCTGTCTCCACCTCTTTCTTGCTGACAGTTCTCAAGATAGTGTTCTGTTTCAGGCTACCTGTGAACCAAAATAATGAATTAATTAATAAAAATGAAATAAATTAAAGGGTGCTACTGCAGCTATACACCACTATATTGAGAGCAATACAGCTAATATATGAAAAGTTCAAGATAGATAAAACTCAGTTTTTATTGATTTACATAAACATGTGTTTTATATTGTGCATTCAAACATCAAAAAACTTTTTTTTATAAAAATAAACCTGAAGTCTAGGGCCCTATTTTAACGATCTGAAACGCATGTATCAAGCGTGAAACGCAAGTAACTTTGTGGGCGGATCTCGGGCGCTGTTGCTAAATGCGCCTGACGCAAATCTAAAAGGGGTTGGTCTGAAGTAGCTACATTACTCATAGGTGTGGTTTGGGCGTAACATGAAATAAACCAATCAGAGTGACACCTCACATTCCATTTAAAGCAGTGTTCCCCAACCCCAAATCTTTTAAGAGCAGGAGCACTTGTTCCATGATTGCTATTATAACGGCGGATATGCCAGGCGCACGCCAGGAGCGGTTCACAGCCGAGGAGACCGACGTTCTTGTCAGGGCTGTAAAACACAGAGAAGTGACATTGTATGGGGATGGAGAAACCCACCCAAATAAGCTTCGGTTAAACAGGCGTATAATAATTTGGGTAAATGTGTAAGCTAGATTAACACCTATTTTTTCACATCGTCATGGACACAACAATGATTTCCCTCGTGTTTTAATATTTTATCTTGTAATAATGTATGATTTGCAAAAATGGAAACTGCTGCATCTGTGTAGATGAGAGAAGCTAAGTGTATACCTTTTTGTCCGCTGCGAGCAGTCATTCTCCATTTTCTCAAAAAAACAAAAACAAAAGGAATCTGAAATTTAACAGCAGAAGATTAAAAAGCAGAATTTAAAATAATTAACAAATGATTAAAAAGTCCTGTGATTAGTGAAAATGGACATCAGCGTAATGTTTCTTCATGCATGACCATTGTTAATAATGTACACAAATAAAAAGATTACAATAAATTACTTCTCATCTCTTTTTACCTGATTAACCTAAAGGCAGAACTATGACATTAGTTTAGGATAATTTTTAAACTATCAATACCGACATAGGCCTACTGATTAATTGAGATAACATAATTAATATAACATACATCTATCAATCCATTCTGTATGTGGAGACATCGCATTAGGAACTGCTTGACCGGATCACTTAATCAGCGAGTCAACTGATTGACTTCAAATGAGTCATTCTGACAGTTTTGTCATTTTATTCAACAGGTTCACTAAAAAGAACCGATTCAAAAAACGAATCGTTCATGAATGGGCAGTTGGGCACAAATGATTAATGTTTCTTGAACTACGACGAACAATTTCGATCTGTCCCTCAAATAAAACTTTAATGAATACTTAAACTGAGTGTACGGGTAGTATGCATTATTTTATGGGACTTTAAGCCGAGTTTACACCGGCTGCGAAGCACGGAAAGGCCTAAGTTAACTTAGAAGCGCAATGACGCATTCTTGCACGATATAACGTTACTGCCTCGGTCATTATTATGAGACCGAACGATTATGAAAAATACGGTAAACGTGTGGGTGAAAAGTCGGCGCGAACACTTTATTATATAAAATTAGCTGGTTAACCAACTTCATTTTAGTTTGCTTATGTAACTTAGTTGTTTGAGCTCGGCTGGCTAACCTTAAATGTTAGCTCTATGATTCTGAAATATCTAGTTTTATAAAATCTTAAGTAAAACTAAGTTAATACAAAATAAAACGTATACATATCTTACCTTGGTAGTGTTAAACAGGAGATATTTGACGGTGATGGTCTAGAACAGGGGTTCTCAAACATTTTGGAGCCAGGGACCCCTTACAGGGGAAAAACATTTCCAAGGACCCCCTCATATTTATAACAGTGACTGAGCCTAAAGTTAATGTGGGAGCGGTTAATGAAATATTTTGACACAAATAGTCTCGACCCAGGGTCATATGCAGGGTTTTCTAAATAGCATACTGAGGTCCCAAAATTGATCTTGCTAGGGGGGTTCTTGATCTACACGTGCATTTTAAGGTGTTTTTAAGGCCAAAATTTTTTACTTTTTTCTTAATATACCCAGAAAGAATGGAAGTGCAATGTGACAACATGTCCCATAGGTGGGGCACATTGTAACATGACCATATAACAGATTAAAATGTTATCTGATCTAATCAAACAAATATACAAGACAAACAAAAAAGCTATACAACATAGTTCAAAACATATTCATTGTAACGCAGTGTGACAACATGACCCACTTGCACAACTGGGATTTACGTTGTGCCCCGCTATCCCCTATATTTCCTTTCCCGGTTGATACTTTGCAAACTGATTGTTTCTGTCGTTCGTTTAAAACTTCTATAACAGCTGTTTAGTTTAGCGATTTACATATTATCTCGCACTTTATGACCGAATAACTGAAGCGTCATGCGGAAATTCGCGCTCGGCTTGCAGCTTCTGTGAACATAAACCAGCCTACTTTGATTTAATCTCCGACTCAAACATTTTGACATTGACGAGCGCTGTTAGTCTGCTGAAACCGCTCAGATGAGAAGGCCAGTTATCATCATCGCGATGTTTAATATCCTTGCAGCACCAAATTAGAGTTAATATTAGGCAATTATTTCACAACTTTCATTATACACATAGAAAAATTACAGAGGCCCGGACCTCAGGGACCTCAATTGTGGGTATACGACCCTGTCCCTATGCACAAATTTATAATTTACTATATTTTTTCAGAAAATAAGTTGCACCTGAGTGTGTAATATACTTTGTTGCGTTCTTGAGGCGTAGTAGGCCTACTTCCCCTCACTCCACAGCAAATCCTTAAATTAATGGTATTCAGAACAAAACGAGAATGAAAAATAATACTATTAATTGATAATAATACAAATAATAATAATAATAGTATACAGACAACATTTATTTAAAACATCAAGTCTAAACGAATTAAGTTGAATCGAAACTGAAACTGCAGACGTTGGGCTCGTGCATCTCTCATTCGGTCCAAAGTTTCCATATTTGCGATGTAGCCTAACATTTGGATGCTTAACTATTTATGTAAAGAAAGCTTCATGCTTCAGTCCCAATATAGGCCTACACGTATCAGCATCTTCACATTTGGAGAAATGAGATTGGAACAACAGCAAGTCGACAGTATATGATTGACCGTCACTGCCTTCATAGTGTACAACAGACAAATTAAATTAAGCAGAACTTTTTATAAGTTCGGTGAGTATTTTATTTTGATAATGAACAGGTTTTGATGTCAAATTAGCAGTGCTAGAACTGACATATTGTGCGCGCACACGAGACGCCGGCGCGAACACTTGGATTTTTCCTCAGCAGTGGAAACAAAGGAATACTCTTATTTATGGTCATAAAGATAAGAGTACATCATTCAAAAAGGCAAAGTGTCTATTTTTTATTTGTGTATACATTAAAAATGACTACAAAATGTCATGCCTTTTAAAAATAAAGAACACAACAGGATGCGCGTTCTGCCGTCTCTGTCTCCTTTCTGGCGCACGTGCCCAAAAATCGACCAAAACACAGCGAATACTTGACGCACAGACATAAGAAATATAGACAGATTATCTATCTATAGAAACCTTTAAGAGCCTACTTTTTTATTATTTGACATTAAATGCATTATATAAGTCACTTTGGAATAAATAGCAAGTTTTCAGATGTTAAAGAAAACATGACTTACAGTCGGGAAAAACGGTAGGCTGTTATAAATTATTTCGCGGACCCCCTGGCTATAGTTCACGGACCACCAGGGGTCCGCGGACCCCACTTTGAGAACCACTGGTCTAGAAACTTGTCAGGAGAGAAGGAGACCGTTGGGTTTTTTTTGTTTAAATGAAGGCGCCGGCGGGAGGAGGCAATAATTATAGCTTGTGGGGGAGGGGACAGTATGCAAGTGCTTACTCTTTTAGAAAATATAATTTGCACATTTTCTGCACATATACATTACAAAATAAGTGTTTTATAAGGACATGAAATTTACACAAAATAATATTATTTGACAAACATGATGTGCATTTTGTATTATCTCAAATAAAATAAAAACTTAGTCAGTCAAATATTTTAAAATGTTTTTCATTTTCAATACACAATTATGGCAGGTACTTTTTAAACAAATATAAACAAAATTTAGTAATAAAAATTTAGTCTAATATAGCCCAATTGGGGCCCAAACAAGACCCGCAAATAAACAATAATGGGCAGCCTAGCTGGAGCCCACAACCTAAACCAAACTGGGGCCCATAATAACCCCATCAAAGTGCCCACTCTGAGCCCATGCCCACATGACACCCATATAACCCAGAGAAAACCCATGTGGGGCCCACATGGACATGTTGGCTGGGTTAGTGCCAATTGGGCATCGTTTAAATGCCACGGCCTACCTGAGCATTGTTTCTGACCATGTCCATCCCTTTATGGCCACCATGTATCCTCTGATGGCTACTTCCACCATGTCACAAAGCTCTAATCATTTCAAATTGGTTTCTTGAACATGACAATGAGTTCACTGTACTAAAATGGCCTCCACAGTCACCAGATCTCAACCCAATAGAGCATCTTTGGGATGTGGTGGAACGGGAGATTCGCATCATGGATGTGCAGCCGACAAATCTGCGGCAACTGTGTGATGCCATCATGTCAATATGGACCAAACTCCCTGAGGAATGCTTCCAGCACCTTGTTGAATCTATGCCACGAAGAATTGAGGCAGTTCTGAAGGCAAAAGGGGGTCCAACCCGTTACTAGCATGGGGTACCTAATAAAGTGGCCGGTGAGTGTATATGCTGTACATATTTTTTTAAGAAAAGGTTATGGGTAGGTTTAGAGATAGGAGTGAGACTAGTGGCTCAAAATATCTTTTTGATGCTATATTGTTAATAAAAGTTTCATTTTCATATATATTTCTGCATGTATTCTCTATAAAATTGTTATGTTTGGGTTAAGGGGTAGGGTTAAGTGAACCACAATTTATCTATAAAATGGTAAAAGCACAATTATACAAATATATTTATGATCTTAAAGAATCATGAATATGTTACCGTATGTTTCTTAAGCTGTAAATACGTCAAAATGTTTACATTTAAATGTTGTCAATACATCCATCTCGAATGTTTCAGCATCGTTTAAACGTACGTTTTGCACTTGTAAATGTTATGTATTAATGCCTACTTATTGAGAATGATCCCAGGCTGTTCCATCCCATCTCAAATCACCATTCATTGTGTGAGGGTGCTGAAAATGACACCTTTTTAACAAGTACCATTAGCCAAAAGCTCATTTCCATAGCTAGCATTTGATGCATTCTAATACGCTCACACAATTGATATTTAAACACTTAGGACTCAATTTCATTATCATAATTTAAAAACGAATAATATATTTATGATGGAGTATCATATTTTGAGATTGAGAGTCTTGGTCTCGGACAAGAAAAAGTAGTAAGTAGTAAAACATATATGTAGAAATATGACGGCATGATACATTTCCAAGACCTTAAAATAGTGTAATAAAATAGTAGCCGACAAAAAAATATATATAATTCTGTAAACTAAAATAGTTTATATTATCAGGGCTTTCCACTGGCCTGCAGAAAAATAAAAACGTTATGAATATACTATATCTACATCTCGACATATGGGTCAACTCACAAGTACTTTTCGGGCTGTTTGGTTTATTTCGTTTTATTTGTATTTATTTTGAAACCTTTAAACTGCAGAATAGTGTTCAAGAGTGTTTTGTTTACAAAAAGAGACTTCGATCGACATTGTAGTTTCTTTTTCATTTTGCAGAGCATGATGATTTTATAATGTGCAGGATTCCTGCTGAGCTGCTGTACTGTATGTGTGAAAAGAACAAGAGAACACATGGAGCCAGTGATTGAACAGCAAGCGTTTGTCTTTCAAGTGCATGATGTGCGCCTGAAGAGTTCGTAATTCCAGCCTTCTCTGCAACCTGACCCTGTAATGAGGCTTTCTTAACTCTTGCACCCCATTTATTTCCCCTTCGATTTCTCTTTTATTCTGGCTCTCGCTATTCCTCCCTGAGAAAAGATGAAATGATGATTGTTGCTGTCCTGCACACGGTGAATTTCTTACTTCTGTTCGGTATTTTACTCAACCGCATCACACAACTATAAGTTAAATTTGAATGGTTCAAAGTTTGTGAAGAAGAGAACTTCGTGGAAAGTTGTGATGGGAAACTTTTTTTAATTTTGCTTTAGGTGGATATGAGAGACTTAATGAAAGCCCCTTTTAACTTCTCATAATTAATTTATTTATCAGATGTGTCTGGGAATTAAAAATACCTCAAACATAGCTCTGGATAAAGGTGGTAGCTCTCAGTTAAAATTGCACAAAAAAAAAAAAAGTGCAGTCAATACCATACGGAGATATTTCACCTAACAAGACCCCTAAAATACCTTTAGTTGTTGTAACCAAATGTAGTCAGGTTGATGCAGGCCTATTTTTATATTTTTGACTTTAATAAAAAGCATTTAGATCTTGCCACACATCGCACATTGTTGGGAAAGCGTGTTTTACAGTGTAAAATGGAATATCTTTACCTTCCTCCCACCCCTGGGAACTTGCTTTTGTCTTTGCCATTGTCTGGTCTTTGGCCCAGGAGTCCTCCGCTGATGTTAAACTCCAGGCGAACTCAGGATAATATCCAGCAGGCCCACGGTCACATGACTTTCCCTTTGAAGTGCAATCTGGAAAAGAAGAAGAAAAATGTTTGACTAACATTTGTTCAGTAGACTAGAGGCCTTCAGTCTTCCTCCTGGAGACTCACTGTCCTGCTCCATAATCAAACAAATGTGAACCTGCTAGTCGAGCTCTTCAGGATGGCTTGAAAATCATGTGAGATGAAGCAGGTTAGAAATAAACTTTGCAGGACAGAAGGTCCCCTGGAGCAGGGGCATTAAAGACCTCTGCTGATAGACATTTAGAAACGAATCTCCATTAAAACACACTCATTAAACCTTCTAGTATATTGGTCTCCAAACCTAATCATGGGTGCGTTTCCTGCACAACAACATAACTCGCTGCTTAACTACCATAGGTCAATGCATCGTTTAAGAGATCAGCAAGTCACGACTGTTTCCCATTGTCGCAAATTTGACGTTCAACCACTTTGGTTAATGATGTGATGCAGGTGGTGGAATAATAACTTATTTTAATGAATTTGTTTCAGATTGAATTAATGCTAGATTTGTTTGCTATAAATTACGGACATGGCATCTGAGGACTAATTCTTTTTGTTCTGTTATTTTGCTTTATTTCCAGATTCAATCATAGGCTCGTTCTTGCGTACTAGAAGATGCAACTGACATTTGAGCATATTTGAAATAAAAGATAAAGATTGTACTGAATGTCATCAATAAGGATTTATTAAGCCCATATGTCATGCAAACAAGAAACTCTGCTTCTAACCACATGCCAAGAACTGTGATTCCAAACACACAACTTTGCGATGCTGTTTGCAAATGTTCGTTGGTTTCGGGAAACACCAACTATGCTGATAATGATTGAACTTGCAACTAGTTGGCAAACGATAAAAATGCTTCGTTGCACAATCCTATGTTATGACCTCATCTTCATAACAAAATAGCACATTTCTATGTCTGTCTAATGTTAATTTATAAAAGTCCAAAAGAAAATGTTTAAGCAATTAAATATGGAATGTACATTTTCTCTGAGGCAAAAATAAAATGAAATATTACACACAAAAAAAACATACACAACTGTGTAAAGCATGATTAAAAAAAAAAAGAAGTAATACAATCCAACAGCAAGACCAGCAGATGAAGTTTCAGAAGGAGGCAGCCATTTTGTGTCCTCGCTCGAACTCGCTGTTTTCATCGAGATCCTAAAGTGCGGCATGTGAAGCAAAACATATCGTGTGAGAGGGCAATGCCTCCATCGCACTATGATTAACTCATTACACTGTCAATGTGATAATACCCGCCAATCATGGTCTTTTCATCACTATGATTGGCTGATTATTCTGTCAAAGCTGATTACAGCCTCTCTTGCTCGCAACAGGTCCGGAAATCTGCCTGAAGAGGTCAAACTGGTGGAGTTTGACTAATTTCCAAGTAAATTGCTCACATTCAGTTACATTCAAATCTAAATTAACTTGGTTAAGTTAGAGGCTCACTTTTTGGGTTTACTGAGGATGTATTGACTACAGATCAAAAAAGAAAATGACCATATACTGTAAATTATGATTTTTACCAGGTAAATTGTGAACAAACTCATTTGATTCACAATCTTTGTAAACCAACCTTTTTAATCATAATGCTCTTAATGTTCTGACATGAGAATATTCTGAAAAAGTTCAACTTTTTGCTGTTTGCCATTTGTATAGACTGATTGTCGCCTGTTCTCACATCTGTGTCCCCATCTTCAGAGATGGATCTAATTAAATGTATTGCTTAAGGTCAAAGACTGTGTTGAGGTGACGGATGAAATGTGCCTTCAAAACGACAAATGATCATAGCTGTGCCATATTACAGTTTGTACTGAACTGGATGTAATTGGTTATAAGTTCAGCCAGGAGTGTAATTTGATTGGCTTCTTAGCTCAGTTAGATGGACAAAAAAGTCATCATATCAATCAAGCCTGTTAAAATGTGCTTTAAACTTTGAAGGTCTATATTCAATTGTAAAGAGAAAAAAAGGTTGTTTTTTTCACACAGCATATTTCAAGCTTGATAACCAATGATGAAAATTAAATCTGTTAGTAAAAAGAAACAAACAAAAAAAAAACATTGGAAATAAAAGTACACATAGATTAAGAAATATCCCTACATGAAAACCTTATCTTCAAGAGGCTGCAAATGTTAATAAATTTAAACGCAGCTAGATTTTACAGTCTTAAATTAGAGCATTCGTAATAGTGCAATGTCGGGTGAATGCAAGTGAGTAGCCTACATCTCATAAGTTTTTCACATATCTCTGTAATGATAATAATTTTAACACTGTTATTCACATAAATGTGAATGTCAAATCCATTCTTCAGGAACTTTAGCATGATCATTATGTTCACAGCTTTCCCACACTTTTCCTGTGGTTTTTCATGTATTCGTTTATTCTGCTAGAATGGCTTTCAAACCGTTCCAACTGTGTTATGTTCCAACCACACATTCGTCTTGTATTCACTGGAGTGTTAAAAGCACCGGTGGGACCAGGTTGTTTATCAGAGGACTACTGGTTGAAGCCCCAGGCGCCATACAAATATGCGCGTTTTCTGTTCTTTTGCACGGTGTCTGTGTGTGTGTGTGTGTGTGTGTGTGTGCTTCCTTGGTACAGAATTTGGTGCTTCCATTGTTAAGGAAGGCAAATCCCAGAGGAAAAAATATCACCCAGAGGTTATGCTCTTTCAAAGCTCAGACTTAATGGAGTTCTTTGTTATGTTTCATTTGTGAAGTATGTTTTAGTTATAGAACCTTAACACTTTCCCTGCCCTTTGACAGAATTTCCTGTCATTTAAGAGACAACGCTTACCCGCCATTGACGGTTTTCTGTGTTTTCACTGTTATACAGTAGGGGGCGCTATTATGCATCTTCTGAAAGAGTACTGAATCTCTGGATCAAAACACAGGCAAAAAAAAAAGAGCAGAAACAAGCGATAAAAGCATTGCTTGTGCATGTTGTAGTCTTAGACGGAAAAAAACTTTTTCTTCAAAATGTTGCTTTTTTGTTAAACTAACCCACATTTAAATGCTGATTAAAAAAATAATGCATGCATCTATATTTAAATATATATATATATATATAAATATTTAATCGCGATTAATCGCATTAATGTCATAGTTAACTCGCGATTAATCGCATTTAATCGCACATTTTTATCTATTCTAAATGTCTCTTGATTTCTTTTTGTCCCATTATTTTTTCTCATTTTAATGCTCTTATCAACATGGAAAAGTGGATCGGCTTGCTTTGTGCAAATGTTTTTTATTGAAAACAACATTGGCATATACTGTGTTCAATTTCACACTAACATTCTCACTTGGAGCAAATGATCTCTCACACAATGTAACACTGTCCATCAATAAAAGGGTGAAAGAAATACTAACGAGGTCCTGATATTGACGAGGGGGTGGAGAATTCGCATTAGCTGTGTGTGTGTGTGTGTGTGTGTGTTTGGCCATCATCAAGTGGTATTTCAGACGGGACGTGCTGCGATGATGATAGCTCAGTTCACAATGACAAAACACACAGATCACTTTGGTCTCGTCAATGGAACCATTTGGCAACTTTTTAAAAGTAAACTTTCCATTCAGAATCTTATTGGCATCCATTTCGGCGTCTCGCGCTCGTCATCCACTCAAAACTGGACGTTTTGAACGTTCCTATAACATTCAGAAATAACGTTTTTATAACTTAATGGGAACGTTATGAAAACGTTCTTATAACCTAAAATTGTTAGCTGGGGAAGAGGAGAGATTCGCGATTGCACTGAACACATTTTAAGTGCAGGCATATTCTCTGAGCGAGCCCAGAGAAAATACTTACGAGAGCAGCGTGTATCTGAGAGCGCGCGACTCGAGCAGAGAGATTCGCGCTCGCGCATCCGGCTCGCAAGCCCAAACAAGTGTGTGCGGCGTGCCTGTTGTTTTGTTTCCGGTCTAGCTAGATCCGCTTGCGCTTTCAAAACGTCCATGCCGCGTCCTGTTGCAAAAGCATGTGAAAAAAAACTACAAAGTTTGCTAGGCCAAAAAGGCCGTTAATCGCGCGATAAAAAAAATTAACGCCGTTAAAATGGGTTTGCGTTAACGCCGTTAATAACGCGTTTAACTGACAGCCCTAATATATATATATTTAACATAGGTTCTGTTCTTTCTTTTGATATATTGCATGTTCAGATATTCATACAACAAAATTCTGGGGGCCATGACATTTTGGTGATTTTTTTTTTTTTTTTTTTATATTTACAGTGGCTGGCAACTTTAAAAAATGCTGGTGGGGAAAGAGTTAAGTTTATTGTAAGGAAAATATACTACACAAAATGTAAATAAAAAAAAATATATATATACACTACCACTAATATATATATCAGTGTGCTGAATTGTTTTTTTAGAATTTACTTTTTTATATACAGAAATTGCAAGTAAATTTCACAAATAATTACAAAATAAACTGCAAGTATCATGTTGAAATAAATGTGATTTTTTTTTTAAATCACACATTAAATGTGTAGAAAGACTGTAATAGTATTTTCTCACAAAGCATCATGTCCTGTCCAGTTTTCAAGATTATAGTCAATGTTTTCAAATGACTGCCACAAAATTAGCAAAATATTGTATCTGAAAAAAGATGCTTCTTTAAAGATTCTTTACACGTAGTAACAGTTCTATGTAGTACCGTATCGTCCTGAAGAACCCTTTATATGCTGAAATGGTTCTTTGTGTTAGAGTTTAGGGTTCTTTATTCCCGCCTTTTTGTTTTTCAAATCTGTAACTGTCAGAGCTCCCTCATTACTGATTTTCTGGAGCTCAGCTAAACAACTACAGATACTACACACACTGTCAACATACTCTCAACAGGTAAATGATTTCTTTCTTAAAATGTCGATAAATTATAACTTTAAAAATTGTAACAATCATTTCCCAACAATCATATATTTTTCTCTTTTTAGTTCAACAGAACATGTAAGCGTGAGCAGCTCTGTTCAGTTATATCAGTTAGATCGGCGTTCGTAGATC